TCTTTTCTAGTGCTAGTCTTTGAGGAGAGTGGAAGGTTTATAGTGAGTGTTCAGTATTTTCTACCACACCCTTTGATTGATGGTTCTAGGACAAATACAACCTATTAGAAGGCTGTAAATTCTGTGAGGATGAGGTATGTACCTAGCTTATTTATCACTTTATCCCTGACATCTAACACAGTTCCTTACATAGAGTTATTCTTAATTCATTTATGTTAAAGTAAAGTATGAAAAAGTTAGTGAGTTGAGAGGACAATTCTCTGGACACCTGCATAGTGCCTATATTGATAGAAGCTCTTTCTGGTTAGAAAATAGGAGAAAAAGAGTTGTGAAACAACAAACCATCTCAGAAACAACAATAACGTAAACCTTAAAATCATCCAAAGCATTCTCAATTGAAGGGGTGGTGATGTCAAATTCAATTCCTCCATGAACATGAAAATATTGATTCTCTTTGTAGTGAAAGTTCTGGCATTTAAAATCTCGTCCATAAATAAACGGAGGCAGTTCTCGCTCTGTCTTGACCTTGTCATCTCCCCAAATGAAAACAAACTTTCATTTAAAAAATGAACAAATATAAATAATCATATTTTGGAGATCTAAATTCTCATTAATGTAAACAAAGTAAAGATATTTCACATGAAATTAAGATCTTATTTACAGTATATAAAATTATTTATGTTCTAAATATATATGATATTTGAACATTAAAATTGTTTATATCAAACACTCCTAGCACTTTCTATAGTGTTTCACAGATATTGTAAAAGTATAGTCAAAACATTATTCTTGGGCTGGGGATTTGGCTCAGTGGCAACGCACCTGCCTTGCAAGTGCAAGGTCCTGAGTTCAATCCCCGGTACCAAAACACAAAAACAAAAACAAAAAAAATATTATTCTACCTACTGATTTCTATAAATGCACACAAGATTTTTAATATCTTACCTTCAATTATCAGAAAGACTTGAAATTTTGTGCCTTAGAAAATCTTTGGTTAAATAAAAATCTGAGTTAGCTTAGGTAAAAAGACACACTATAAAGAAATAGGTGGACATTTTGTATATGAAAAAAATAACTGGCCTATATTTCTGGAAAGTAATGAAACCACACATAAAACATATTTTAAAAATAATTTTGTAAAAGCCTAGTGAGGATTAAGTTTGTTCAATATTTTGACTGGCTAGTAGATGTTTTCATCAATATAAGGCATAAAATGTATTTTGAGAAATATATAAAAGGTACATGAAAGTATAAAGAATAACATCATACCCTAATCTGACAATATAGATTCAATTGTTTATATTTAGTCATGTTTGATTTCAACAGCTTGGGTAAGAAAATATTAGGGATATAGCTAATATCCCATTTACGCAGGCCCTCCAAGTTCCGTACACACACACACACACACACACACACACACACACACACACACAAACACTGTTCTGATTCCATTTTCAAATAATTCATAGATTACAGGGCTAATCATTACCTCTGAATTCTCATGCTACACAGTTTCACTAAATGATTTGTAAAACTTCTACCAAAATTTTGTCATCTGAATAGGAACTTCATTAGAAGAAGGCTACATGTTTGACAATCAGCAAAGTGCATAAATTGTGTGTTAACATGGGTAGCATGAAGAGTTTGCAATGAAGTCCTACCAAGTTCCATAAAAGCAAGCCCATTCCATACAGACAGCTCCTGTTTATTATAGAACCAATATTTCCTCATTTAATTACTATAGTTTTAATATGTTTCAATCTTTTTTTAAGGAGTGCAAAGCCATTCAGTTTGTAAACTTTAGGGAAAAATATGGTATGGATTTTGAATAGAAGTGTATTGAATTTATAGAGTAATTTAGATGAACAATGCACACTTATTTATTTAGAACTTGGTTTAAGTCTTTCAATAGCTTTTATAATTAGTATAAATATACACAAAATGCTATGTGTATATGCCAAATATTTTTAATTACACTGAAAACATGAAATTTGTTGTTATTCTAAAAGATTAAAGGCCTAAACATACATACTAGAAAAACTTGACATATATATCCATTTACTATATACATATACTACTTTATATTTAATTTTGGCTGATATCCTACCTGAAAAAGGCTGAAGCAGGCTACTTAAATATGGAATTTTCATCTTTTTTTCCAAACTTAGTAAAAATGGAACCAGAAAACATATCAACTTTAGGTAGCCTATCCCTTTTCTGATTTCTTTTTTCTTCTCAAAGTGTTTTTGAATAACCTTTTTTTGAAGGTATAATCTTTGCTGTAGTCTCTGATAGGTACAAATATCAAGATAATCCTGAGTATATTTTATGGCATTGGTAAGCCAATAGGCTGCTTCAAATATAAAGACATTTTCACACTGTTGAACTTGCGTGGTGCTGAATGTTAATTTTAGCAGAATATTTTAAATATTTAAATAATACATACAGCTTTTTCTTCAGGGCTATTTGGATCATATGTTGGATCTTCATTCATGTCTTCATCATAGATTCCATTAAAGTCTGGATCCTGTGTAATATCAACCAACCCTTCACAGTAAAAAAGAAAAATTTTAGACAGTGAAAGCTTCATACTTGACTTTCTTCTGGATAGCAGATTGAACATAGACTGTCATCTTGAAATCCTGCTGGGATTACATTTTTAAAAAACAACAAGACATAATAAAATAGTATAAGATGAAAAGCAGATGGATGAATTGGCTACTAAGCAGAGAGAAGAAAGATAAAAACCAATAGAATTTTAAAAATATATTTCCTCTAATAATCCCTCTAAGAGCTATTCTTTTTGGCAGAAAGAAACATAAAACCGTGGACACATAATTTTTTTTCCAGTACCAGGGATCAAACTCAGGACTTTGTGTTTGTGAGGCAGGCGCAGCACCACTGAGCTAAATCCCCAGCCTCTAAATCCCATTTTTAATCAAGAAAAACATGGAAGAACAACAGGAAAGTGTGGTATCCCCTTAATCAGGGAATCAGCTTTTTCTTTGTATAAAAAAATATATTTTGCTTTTTCAGGCCTAATATGATGAACTTATTCTTTTTTGCTAATAAGGGAAGCTAAACATATACAATAAACTATGAACCTTCTGGTAAACTAATCATGATGAAACAAGAATTAAAACTTTTTCTAAATTTTGAAAAATGACACCTTTCCTATGTTTTATTTTCTTGCCATTTACAATGAAATTAGGATTTTTCTTATCAAATTGTCTCCTAAAGATAGTTATATGTACAATGTTACCCTCAATCTGAACTTGAGAAAGCTATGTGGACTGATAAAATATGACTTTATAGAAAATGTAGAGTTTGGGACACATGAGCTTTAAAGTGTAAATGAAGCATCAACCCCAACCTTTCTTTTTCCTTTTTCTTCTTCAATTTATATAAAAGGCTGAAAGCTCTTGGGTTTTTAAAAAATGGCACTGTAAATGAGTTATCGACATAAAGAGATTATAGAGAAATGGAAGCGATTCTGACATCTTAATCTACATATCAGCCAGCGGATTTTTGATGCCACTAAAACTTTTTGGTTTGCAGTGGGCGGAGCTAGCAGAGAGGGTACCACAGCAACCCAGAAGGCTTAGAAATTGCAAGTCTCATAGGGAGCCCAGGAAGGTCACGGTGTAGAATAAAATCAATGATTTGGGGGGGAAAAAAAAAGGACTGGTTTAAAAGCTGAGGAAAGTACAGGTAGACCTCAGGTAGCATAGCCTTGCACCCGTCCTCGCTAAAAGCTTTGAAGCCCCGCTGAGGGCCAGGAGGAGGCCCTTGTGCTGAAAGGAATAGGGAGAGACCGAGTGTTGAATCGGGAGGGCACCGCCTCTTCCATTCTTTTGGCCCCAGATTCATTGCTTCCTTTCAGGAAGGAGCCTGGAGCAAACAGACCAACCAAAGATAAAAGACAGAGATGTACGGAATGTGTGATGGACAAGCTCCCCAGTGACACATCAGGGTTTCCTCTGACCCCCAGCATCTGCTCTGCCTCACAAGGAATGAGAACGGAAGGATCAGCAGGCAGGGAAGCCCCTCGGATGAGAGGGCGCGCCCTCGGAGAGCCGAACTGGTTCCCCCGAGGTGGGAGGGTGGTGTCAGAAACGACCTCTTGGGAAAAAAGGACCTCGCCTGTCTGTGGACAGGTGCTCCACGTTTCTCTTGGAACGTCTGGTACTGAATTAGTAATACGAATATGGAAAACTTTAGCTACTTCAAAGAATACAGTTCATGTCACGAATAAACACAAAGTTATGGAAGTATGATCATATGTAAATTAGCTGGGGAAAATATGCTAAAAGTCAATAAATAATGAGAGAAGTTTTAACCAAAATTGGATAAAACTTTGGAGGATGAGGGAGAGGAAACACAACATTGAAGTATTTAAACTTGGATACTAATTTCTCTTTATCTCATCTCCTGTCCCTGCTTTTGCTGCTGAGCGCTAGCTTGTTTCTAAATGCCTAAAAAATATCTTTACCTGAAAGACACAGAATCGCTTCAAACTAAATTCTTCCCCCCACAGTCTGCTTTGCTTTTATTCTCTCAGGGTAATGGTTCTATTTACCGATTGTCTCTCAAATTAGAAACTGAAAAGTCTCCTTCAATTTGTTATTAACCATTTAATTTCTACATGTACTGAAAGTTTACTATGTGCCAGGCACTTAATAAAGTGCCGAGAATTTAAAAACAAAAATGACAATTTTCTCTGCTCTTTAGGAGAAGTTTAAGATCTAGTAAAGAAGATAAAGATGAAGCCAATAATTGCAATATAAGATATGAAGTATTTTCTGTGTCCAAGTACAGTGTGTACAGGTAAGAGTCCTAATAGGCAATGTCTGAATCATGCATCCGGAAGTCCGTAGCAATAACCCAGGGAAGAATGTCAAAGAGCTGGGTGAGGTAGACAGACAGAGGGGCATTCCAGATGGAGGAGGGGAAATGAACAGAGGCATAAAAAATACCCATTCCATGTTACCAGTTTGTGAGATTGCATAAGCACCCCCTCATTTCAATCAAAAGCTCCCTTCCTTCCCTCGTTTTGCTGTCATGAGACTTTGTTCTTTCCATCCATCACCCAAAGCTCCTATAGTGGGTCTAAGAATCCAGGAATTTGTCAGCTGAAGAGCTCTACACTACTTAAAATCCTTTCTCAGAAAACTGGGTAATATGACCAGATTTTTGTTGAGCTCTATTCTCTACTGCTGTTGCCACTATGTATTTTTAAACAAATGACAGTGCTGGTGGATTGGTATAATGTAAAGCTGAGAGGCCTTGGCCAAGACTGATTTTCAGTAGTCTGCCCTCCAGGAAAAGGAGTTGGCCCTCTCTAGAAACCCTCTCTAGCACAGTTTAAGGCACCACATGGTCAGTGACAAGGTTTGAACCTGGTTTCCCTGTGATGTCAAGTGAAGAGCTGCTGACTTCCCAAACATGACAGATAACCTGAGCAGGCAGGCTGCATGCTTGCCACCAGATGGCTGCTACCACAGGGCTTTCGTGTCAGCTCCCTGGTCACACCGTTGTAGAAAGGGGTGCATCCTTAGCCTCAAACATCAAGTTTGAAGGGTGCTTCAAGTTCCCAGGAGTAACACTCTGTATCAGATACCTTTTGCTCATATCTCACATCCTTTCAGACCACATTTGAAAATTCTTTTTTTTGGTATAGGGGTCGAACTCAGGACCTCGTGCTTGTGAGGCAGGTGAGGTGCCACTGAGCTAAATCCCTAGGCCCTGAAAATTCTAATTGTTGCATCAACTAACTTCACACAAATATAACCTGACTGCACCTTGCCACAGATGTGCCATGTGACTCTTATTTTTGTTCCAAGGCTTCTCTGCTTCTACCGTGTTGGAATCCTGATGGGACCCATCAGCCTTTCTGATGCATTAACAGATCTGCAAGTGTGAGAGAATCCCCCCAACTCCTCGCAGACTTTCATGCATGGGGGACAGGAGGCAGTGGATACACACTCCTGTCTTCCATTCTGCCTTAATCCATTTGGGCTCCTACAACAAAATGGCACAGAGTGGATAGCTTTTATAAAATGAAAGTTCATTTTATTACAGTTCTGGAGAGTACGAAGCCCAAATAAAGTCAGATTTGGTGTCAAGTGATCCGGGTTCATTTCCTGGTTCATAGATGGTGCTTTAAGTGTCACTAACTACTAAAATGATGTCTTATTTACATTTTAAATTACCTGAAATAGGCTTGGAGTTCCTATACTCCTGGCAGTGACAGCACTTCTGGGTGGAATTTAACATATTTTTAAGAGCTTGTTCCTGCCATATTCTCTTCACCAATGCATTATGTGATGGCAAAGCTTCAGTGGCCATGAAAGGGAACTACTGGACCAGTCAAAGGAATGCAGAAAGTAATGGAATTCACTGGATATTACTGGTAATATTTTGTGCTTTTTGACCCTCATCACCCTAATCAAAGGCCCTTCCCCCAAAAACAGGGTTCATGAGATTCCAGTTACAGCTGTAACCCTTTAGAGTTCAGTGACTCTCCAATCCTAGGAGCTTTGTACCCAGCCAGATGGCATTAATGCCTACTCCACCAGCACTGCTTAAGTAGTTCTCTCCCAGGGAAGGGAGAATTTCTTTATTCCTTATATCTATTCAACTTAAAACCTTCTCTAAAGATGAAAGCTAACAGCTATCTAAGCTGTCATTGAGACAAGGAGACACCATCTTCAAGAGACTGAACTGCTTTGAGGTACATCGAGGCTGCAGAACACATTGAAACAACACGTCTGGAAACCCAGCCTACAGCAGGTGAATTAGACTGCATTCCTGTCATCAAATATTATTCTCAAGCATTTGAACTTCATAGCAGGCCAGGCACAAATACAGCCAATAGCACAGGTAGCAAACAAATACTTCTGTATTTCAGGTCCTAACAGATTCAGAGGCATTCAGCGGTGTGTAGTACTGGAGGTGGGGTTGGGAATGATTACCCAGTTGTAACCATGGTGCCTAAACATCTGCAGACATGATACCTGGGAATATTCAAAACCTTAAGCATGATCTACAGGAAACTTTAGTTGGCCACCCCTGTCGTGACACCCTCTAATGTGAAGGTAAGTACCTGTGACAGCCTTGCTGAGGGGCTGCTCCTTAGGTAACAATCATTGAGTCCATCTGGGACACACAAGCTGGGTTTATTCTCCAACCTTACCACTGGTAATGGTAGAAACCCACTAAACATTTGAAATACTCCTTCCTCATGTAATGATTTGTTGATTCAACTCAATTCATTTAATGGAATTTAACAAATTTTTGCTCATGCTCAAATATTACATGTCAGATACTGTGTTAAGTACTAAACTTCTAGGAATAAACAGGCAAGTAAGGGCCCTATTTTCATGGACGTTTTAATAAAGTATTTGTTTACCTGTTTTTTCCCATTTGGACTTATTTTTGTGTTTTAGCAAGAAATAAAAGTTCAACTAATATTTATAAAATGAATAAATCAAGTGGGAGTCCTTTATAAATAAGTAGATGTATAATTTTCGATTTAGCTATCAATGACAGAGAAGGAAAAGAGGTGAGCTAACAACCCCATGAAATGAGCTTACCGTATTAATTGTACTACATGTTTTAATGATTATAACTCTTTTGACAGTTTATTGAGAAGCTAAGAAGCAAATTTGCTTTTTAAAATATTTTCTCTAGTACACAGACCTACACTGATAAATTAAAATTTTTTTCCTAATTACATGTCCAATTCAAGTAAAAGTTCATTTCCATGTGATTTACCATTTAAAACCTTATCAGTTCTGGTTAGCCAAGAAAAATCTGGCTGCTTAGGGGAGAGTATTAATCCTTTCTTGCCTCAGTAAATTTATGCAAAAAACTATCCATATTAAGATGATGCATAGAAATGAACTGAAGATTGAAATTATTAGGTAGTTTGGAATCTGATCAGTTCTGCAGAAACTGGAGATTAAAATGAAAGAGGCAAGATGCTTGATTTAAAATGTTTGGTACCTGGGATTGAACTTGGGACCTTGTGCTTGCAAGGCAGGTGATGGAACCACTGAGCTAAATCCCCAAAATCTTCAAAAAAGATTTCTTGAAGTTTAAAGAAAAGCTCCTTTTAGAAGTAATGGCTACACTTAGAAATTTTTTTTTTTTTACCAAGAAAGATGGCTATATAAATTCAGGCACAGATAAAATACTTATAAAATTAAAAAATGGCTTCTAATAAAAATAACTAAGAAGGGCTAAATTCTCTTACCTGCTGAACTAAACGCTGCAAAAATCTCTTTAATTGTTTGAGGCTTCCCGTCTGGATCAATGTCCAAGATGGTACGCCACATTTCGGAGAACATGGTTCATTTCTCTTTGGGCATGTATGCTCCATGCCACAGTGCTTTCAACATGTGGTCAATACGGATCAGAATCTGCCCAATTCTGGTATCAAAATAAGCTGGAGGTAATTGACAAGAAGAACTCTGATCATAATTAGCTTCTAAACTGGTGGAAGGAATTTGATTTAAGCAATAAATTCCAACAGCCAACTCCCTTATGATCTGATGGACTTCTCTGTAGTCTAAGAGGGTGGTAGGGTCCACCGGCATCAGTAGAATCGCAGTGGAGAAACTGACATTGTTCATTTGACTCATAATTCCACTTGGGAACTCCAGTTGAGAGCACCCATCCTCTTTTGTAGACAACCACCTGGCTAGTGCCGTAGTTAATAACTCTTGTATCTCACTCTGATCATAATTTTCAAAAAAAGCAGAAGCATTTCTCTGTACTGCTAAATTTTCAAGGTAGGTTTGTTCATCTTGAGCTTGATCAACTCTAAGTAATCCTTTTTTGGGCAATCTTAACATTTTCAATTAAATCTAGCGCATCCTTTTTTGAAGTTTCTGCAATGGATAAAAGAAATAAAAGGCAAGTAATAACAATTCACCATATCGTGAATCTTCATTTCCCTAGGAATAAATCTACACTTTTCTTTATCTAAGGTCAGTTGACCATTACTTTTTTTCAGTCTCAAACTAGTTGCAGCATAAGCTGAAATCTGAATTAAAATAATTAAAATTGTAAAACCTGTAACATTAATCATGTACTGCTTTTCAAAGAGGCAACAGATACAGAGAAGTACAATTGTATGCTGCAGAACAATAATTCTGTCAGCAGCAGACATTGCCTAGTGATACAGTAACACCTTAGTTTGTGCAAATACATTCTGTGATGTTTACACAATGAAACAGCCTAACATGCTTCTCAGCTTCTCATGTTAAGTAACATGTGACTGTATGTCAAAAAAAATGTTAAGTTTATACAGGACAAGCAACTACCATATACCTGCAGTATTATTTGTTGGGGAGGTTTTTTTGTGCATATCTCTTCAAAATTTTAAAGAAAATAAAGACCTGATTAAAGGATAGACAGGAAATACTGGTTTAACTTTTTTCTTTCTTTCTTCCTTTTTTGCTTGTGGTGGTGCTAAGTTTCCAGCCTAGGAACATGCTAAGTGAGTGCTTTATCACTGCGTGGTATTTCCCCAACCTTCAGTGTTTGTGTAACTAAGTACTTCTATATTCCTGGAAAAATAGCCATATTACCACTTGAGCATCTACTATTTGCCAGGCACCTTACACGTAATATTTTGGCTTCTTTCATGTAATTGACCTCCATGATACAGTGGTTCTCAAAATTTAGCCTATATGAAAATCACCTGCTTGTTAAACTGAATCTTGCTGGATTCCACCCGTGTCCGATTCAGGCAGCTGGGGTGGAACAGAGAATCTGCGTTTCTGTAAAGTTACGGGTGTGCTGAGCCCAGTCCACCGGGGTAGACACTGTTTCGCCCACTGCATGGACACAAACGTGGATCACAGGGCGCGTCTTGCAGAATCAGAACCCAGGGTCACACTCAAGCCCAGAGTCTGCCACGGACTCGGGGATGGACGAGGAAAGGGGAAGCCTACTTTGAAATGATCATTTTCTTGTCTAGGAGAGGGAAGCTGTGTCCCCTGTGGTCCCCAGGGGCCTGGGACAGTCACCGCTCGGAGGGGCCCCTCGCTGCCCCTCGGTGGCCGCTGATGTGGGCGCGGGTCTGAGCCGTTGGTCCTGGGGGCCCTGGGGCGGGGACCCGCGCGTGGACCCGCGCGTGGACTGGGCCAGGCGGGAAGACCGCGTGACCCCGCGCAGCTGACAACCGCTCAGCTCCCGGACTCCTTAGAACCCGTCCAGCCCCAATGTTCCTTCAAGGGCACAGGCTGAGTGACCTCCCATTCCTTCCTTCCTCTAGGCCCCATCGCCTAAAGGCTCCAAAGACACTGTCATCTGGGACCTTCGACACAGGATCCCTTGGGAGACAGGAAAGATCCAAACCCCAACAGGCAGTGTGATGCAGGCAACAGGTACAGGCACAGTCTGTGGAGGGAGAAAATGTTTCCCTTCCCAATGGTGAGAGAGAACGACAACAGCCACAGGGGAGACACAAGTTACGGTGTGGGAGACACCAGGGCACATTTGCGCCCATGTGCACACACACACAAAGGCCACGAGGGGACACACAGAGAAGGCAGCCACCTGCAGCCCAAGGAGAGGGTCAGAAACCAACCCTGCCTGGATCTTGGACTTCCAGCCTCCAGAACTCAGAGAAATATATTTGTCGTTCAAAGAAAAAAGTTCTACATGGTGGCACATGCCTGTAAGCCCAGCACCCTGGGAGGCTGAGGCAGGAGGATCACAAATTGGAGCCCATTCTGGGCAATTTAGACTATATCTCAAAATTAAAAAAATAAAAAAGGGTTGGGGTACAGCTCAGTCCAAAGGCCCTGGGTTCAATCTTCAGTTCCAAAAAAAAAAAAAAAGTTCTTATGGTGGGAAGAGGAAGCAGTTCCCAACCCGATGGCTTTGGTCTCTCTGAAAAAAGCCCAAGTCAGGAATTAAGAATGGGACACAGAAGGCTGTAGATGTGTGGGACAGAAGAATGTTTAAAAAATTTTTAAAAGTTCTTGAAGTAGGAAAATGAGCTGTCTAGACAGATGTACTAAGTATTGCCCAGGAGTGTGAGCAAAGTATTTAGCTTCTCAAGACAGTGTTCTGTCTGTCAAACAAAGTCCCGTGTTGACCAAGGTCCCTGATGATAAAAATACCAAATTGAGTTATTTCTGGATGTAGCTACCATGGAGTTAATGTGGGAAACCACTCTGTTTCTCTACACTCTCACACACTTCTGACACCAATCGACTATCTCTGAACATCACCTGGGTGTTCTACAATTTGATCCAATCTGATTCTCTGCACCTGGAGTTAGTGTCAGATCCCATGAGTTAAGGACTCGGTCCCACAAGACTGCCCTCACTTTAAATGCCAACTTCAAATTGGAGCTTCTGGTACTTCTGACCAACCAGCTATAAACTGGGGTGTCGGGAGCAGTGCTACTTAATTTAGGGGAAAAGTCATTTCATTAGGCCTAGTTCTCCTGCCTACAGGTCAGCTGTGGCATTTTGAGGCATAATTCCATTTTGGCCTCTGGTCACAACTGAGACCTCAGTGATCCGGTGATACTGTGATGCTCCAGGACCAGATTACACCAGCTGAAGACATCCTGGTAGGAACATTGTTCTTGGATCCTCCCCTGCCTCATTTGTTACATGTTTCTCCTGGTAAGCTGGGGGCTTTCATCTTTGCTGCCCAGAGCAGCACTGATCAGGCCCAAAACTCAGCTTCTTCTCCAAGTCTCATTTTTTCTACCTTTCCTGTATCATAAGTTAATTCGCCTTGTGCTGCTGTGGCTCGCAGGAGACTAGGACTCACTGCAGAGGTTCTAGTAAGGTCCCTTTTCCCTGTTTCCTACACTGGGGTTCCTGTAACTTTGCTAGATTGGCCTATAGAAACCTGAATTCTGGAAATATTTTAATTTACTGACTTATCATAAAGGATACAGCTCAGGAACAGCTGGATGGAAGACACACAAGGCAAAGTATTTGGGGGGTGGGAGAGCAAAAACAGATTCCATGCACACTCTGGGCAGCAACCCTCCTAGTACATCCACACGTTTAGCAAACTAGGAACTCATCAAATCTTGTAGAAGAATTTTTACAGATCTTCATTGAGGTTAACCTTCCACCCACCACAAGTCTGTAGATGGGGCTGAAGCTCCAGCCCTCTTAAACACTTGGTTTTTCTGGTCATCAGCCCCATCCTGAGACTGTCTAGGGAATCACACTATAAACTACATTAATCCAAGTGTAATCAAAAGGCATTCACTGTAAGTAATAAGACACTGTTATCATTTAGGAAATTCCAAGAGTTTTAGAAGCTTTGCCACAAGAAAAGTAAAAATTCACCCAATGAACTTTAAAACCACTACAATCTACAATAGCAAAGCAGTGGAACATTTTATTTTTATAAAACTGTCATTCAGTAAATACTAACACTGTGAAATCATATCACGATTTAATCTCCCTTTCAAAAGAAAGGTTTTCTAAGGAAATGACTTGGAGTCTTCCACATTTGTCAGATGCCTTTTCCTTATTGTTTTCCATTTTTGCAATTCTAGATCCAAATTGCATGGCCCG